TTCACTGTGCACATGCTATGAGCGCAGCCCAGCTGTTGAAACCCGTATTCCCCAGAAAAAGTCTGGGGAAAATTAGTGAAACGTTTGAACTCCGATTTCGCGCGTTTTTTTTCATCGCGTTATTTTTCAACTTAAGTTGAATTTGCATTTTTGACGCTTTGTTTCGGTAAGTCCATACCGAAAGGTATCAGAATCTGCAAAGTTGTGTTTTACGTTGCATGTGACCTTTAACTAACACTGTTAACAGATTCAAACATAGCAACCATGTGAGACAAGCCTCCGTTTTACCACTGTGCTATACCGCCACCACCATAATTTAATCATTATTACCCTTACTAACTCTTCAAACAGATTCAACCTTGCAGTGTCTCTGGTTTTGTGTTGGAGAAGGTCAGCCTATGAACCATGTTTCTACTACCAGCAGATCATGTGAACTTCATGTAGGGTGTGACGTGCCAGTTTGTGATTGCCAGATAACACAGGAAATTGTGTTGATAGTCAATATAAAGAATCAATTTAAGATACTCCAAAATAGTTTCACAAATATTGTACCAATGAAGCCTGGTTTGTTAGTTCTCAGATCAGTATGTTCAACACTATTTCAGAAAAAACATGAATCAAGTTTGGTATTAGTGCTGGTGAGCGCCGACTGATGGAGAAAGGAAGTGTGTGCTTGGACTGGTGAAGAACATGATGGTTCGGTATCAGTTCCTGACCATTCAATCTAAATATACGTGAAAATTAAATTGTACAATTTAGGATTGATATTGATCTGTTCTTTGCCTCGGTGACATCTCTAGATTCTGTGTCACTGTTTGGATGCACAGGGATAATTCTCATCACGACAGGAATAACTGACTTCTCTTATGCATCCGCGAAGATCTGGGTGAGATCTGATCTTCAGTAACCCTGCTTGTCGTAAGAGGCGACTAAGAAGATAGGATGGTCAGGCTCGCTGACCTGGTTGACACATGTCCCAATTGAGTAAATAGATGCTCATGCTGTTGATCACTGAATTGTCTGGTCCAGACTTGATTATTTACAGACCGCCGCCATATAGCTGGAATATGGCTGAGTGCAGTGCTAACACCCAACCAACAACTTCTCGTATGACTGGATGCGTTGAGGAATGCTCAGTGTACAGAAATAACTCATATCTGTTTATCTGATGTAAAATGTCCCTGTAATTTGGGGTGGGGTGGGGGTGGGGTGGTGTTAGCCTAGTGGTTAAAGTATCTGCTCATCACGCTGAAGACCCGGGTTCAATTCCCAACATGGTTACAATGTATGAAGCTCATTTATCCTGTCCCCCCACCATAATATTAATGGAATATTGCTAACAGTGATGTAAAACCTAACTCACTCACTCCCTGTAATTTGGGGGTGGTGGGCTAGCCTTGTGGTTAAAGTATCTGCTCATCACGTCACAGACCCGGGTTCAATTTCCAACATGGTTACAATGTATGAAGCTCATTGATGCTGTCCCCCACCATGATATTAATGGAATATTGCTAACAGTGATGTAAAACCTTACTCACTCACTCACTCCATGTAATCTTGCATGGTGACCTGTAATTGTATCAGTTTTCCGAGGTTAAATGCATGTTCAGAATTGCAAGTAAATTCATGGATCAGAACCAGCCACAATGACAACAGTGCAGCAGCAGCAGCATGATGGTCTGGTACGCATTTATCAACAGGATTTAATATAAGCTTTGGAAAATGGGCAGATTTTTGCAAATTTGTTGATAATCTCTTGGAGTCATAACTTGGAACCAGGATCATGCCACAGGGGACACCCAATATTTCCTATATTACTATCGTTAATCTGTCGTGTTGTAGAATGTCATGTTATGTCGAGACAGATTAAATGTAGTAATATGAAAAATTCAGGTGTTCTTTAACGTCCTCGGAGTAGTATGTGTCATTTTCATGATTGATTGAGTCAATCACTGCCATTACACCAAGTGACTGCTGCGATATGGTGCTCACCAGGACATAGAACAGCCATTCACTCACTCACTCTTTAGTTTTAATCAAACACTCCAGGAAGAACAGGCCCTCTTGTTTCTCTCATTGGCTTTAAACCAGCTCACTGACAGCTCCAACATCCTATTTAATGACGACACTTTTCTGGCCTTACAGAGGCTATACGCAACATCAGCGCTTGAATCTGGGCAGAAAGCAGCTGATTGGGCTAAATAGGAATCAAATGGGAGATATCAACTGCAATTCCTCAAGTACAACTCTGATTCAAAGTGCTTTTCCGCATCATGTTTATGCTGACCGTGCACTTTTCAGATAAAGATGTCCGTTTGTCCGCTGACGCCGGTCTTCAAGGAAGATAATGGTCTGTCATAATACACTAATATCTTACGTGGTTGAGCAATCTCGGGAAACTAATGGGAAGGATCATTACAGTATTCCTTTAATATTGTGTGTGTACTCAAGTCTTTCAATCTTGTTGTACCAGCATGCATTGCTAGTAGGACAATGTGGTGAGATTTAGATTCATGTTTGCAGTTTATGAATGAAAACCAAATGTCGGGATGATGTTACTGAGATGAACCTTAATCGGTCACACTGAAGTAATGATTGATACACTCACTCACTCACTCACTCACTCACTCACTCACTCACTCACTCACTCACTCACTCACTCACATTCACTCACTCACTCACACATTCACTCACTCGCTCACTCACGGGCCCTACGTTTGACCTGTGAAATAGTTAATATGGCTGTTGGACTTATACATACCCGAGGGGTAAGCGACAGGGTTGATGATGAACTGGTTCTCCTCAATCATCATGATGGCCCCATGAAACATTTACCTGCTCCAGATACTTTGAAATTTACTTAGTGTAAAGGCAGGACTAAACCTCACTCATGCTTGCATTTTGAAAATCACTCTCTCTTGCTCTCTCCCTCTCTCACTCACTCATTCACTCACTCTGCTGCATCTTTAGGTCCACATTCTGTTTCAGTGAATCTATCTGGATTTAGCTGCATCATTGGTCATGATGTGGCTGAGTGAGTGAGTAAAGTTTTACGCTGCTTTTAGCAATTTCTAAATCCAAACTCTCTCTGGGGAATCAAACCCTGGCCCTCCATGTGATGAGATAACACTTCAACCAGTGAGCTACCCAACCATCCAATAATTATGTGGAACTTGTTAATGGTGACATGGATTCAGAATACTTAAAACTGTTTAATAAGTTAAACATGGGTGTTGAAGCTTCTCTTATGAACAATGTATTAGTACATTAAACCTGATTGTAAAGTGTTATTGTACAAACTCTAGCACTGAGGGAGAATTACATCATGAGAAATGTGAAATCAGCTGTTTCACAAACTTCTACTTTCTAGAGTGAATTACTCAGTTGAAGGCATTGTTCAAAAATCAGTTGTGGGTTTGAAGTTACTCTGGGGAGAAAATGAAAAGCTTTGCTGAAAATAATTTCCTGAAAACTTACGAGATGTATGCACTTGTATGGAAACCATCAATATTTATTTGAAAAAGATGAAAAGTGAAGTTGAAAACAGAAGTTTGTAAAAGATTGATTTACTTAGTTATGGTGAGTTCATAAAGTTTATCTAATACAGATCTGTGTACATCTAAAGATTTAATATGGATCTGTTTGCAAACACAGTATGATCCTTGTGCCACATCTGGTCATGCAGTTTGAACAACAAAAATAATGATGCAGTTGGGATTTAATTTGTCCTGATTATTGTACTTAAAAACACTGCAGTAATTATTTGGGGTATTGAAACTTAATCAAATATGGTATATGTTATAGATAGCGATTATACCTGACTTTTGTTACATCATAAAGCATCTCTTGGGCTGGCTATCACACAATCAAATTTTCAACAGCAGTCCTCTACACTGTCAACTATCTAGAACTAGTTGTACCAAGTAGTATTTTTGGATATTGCCTGTATCTGATATGGTTTAAGTAATACATGGCCATGTGTGAGGTAAAAATCAGCGTGAACCTTTACACTTTTATTTGTGGACATCTGCCAAAGCTCTATGGGAACACAAGGTTAGAATCAGTTCCCAGGAGCCTGTCTTTGTCAGAAGAGTGGATGGAGTGGGTGGAGTGGATGGAGTAGGGTGGAGTGGGTGGGCAGGGCAGTTCAGTGACTTGGTCGAGTGGATCCCATGAGCCGAAATCAGACTCACCTATACCACTTGACAGTGTTAGAACCATACCAGTCTTGATATCATTGTTGTCATAATGCCATTATTCTGACATCAGTGTTATCAATATGCCATATCATTGTCCTGTATATTCCAATCATTCTTTCGACCACCAGGGTGCCGTTGTACAAAGTGATCTAGCTCTAAGGTGACCGTAACTCCGATACCTTAACATAGACCTAAGGTAGTCTTAGCGCAAAGGTGACCATAACTTAAGGTTGTTTTGTACAATGGCACCCAAGTAGTAAGGTAATTAAACTCACTAGTGGTAGACAGTACCCAGCTATCCAAATAGTCTTTAGGTAGGGACCGACAATATTCTGCGTCTACTGCCGGGCCCAATATGTAATTCCTTGTCATTCAATTGGATCAGGTGTGTTTATCCTGGACTTGTTTGATGGGTAGTTGCTCATAATATCAACCCCTGGTTTGTCTGGTCCAGATTTGATCATTTACTGATCAAACAGCTGACTTGCCTCGAATCCCAGATGTATTGAGATCAGCAGGACCCTTGAACCAACAGATGCTTCAGTATTTCAACAAATCCGCAGGTTCAGAACATAGACAAAATAGACAATATGTATGGATAACATTGTATATATACTGGTGGCTTGACTATACTATAGGGGTGTATGCTTGAACATTACTATAACAATGTTGAACAAGTTGTATGTTAATTCTGTCTACTTTATCATCCGTCAGCATCAAAGGAACACCTATGTGTTTCACAGGCTAAGCATGTAATAATGAATCGTATTCAACATGTGACCTTTGCCCTTTGTCTCACAGTGAGCCATGTAGAGGGACTGGTCATACCGTCCAAGGAAGGACTTCCCACAGAGACGGTCACTCTCAAGTGGTGCACACCCAAGTCCAACAGCATAGGTAGGTGGCAGCAGTTTGGACAGGATATCTGGAGACATTTTACTGGTGCTTCAGGGAGAAACAGCATCATAATAGAGTATATACATGCTTCTGTCAATATCTTCCCCACTTCAAGTTTCCAGTCAACTGAAATTACTGTGTGCCAGAAGCCTGTGATTGTGAGTTTGAACCCTGGTTCACCCCAAGGTTTAACAGTGCCAACTTGTAGTTTCACAAAAGTGATAACCATCAAGGACTTTGAGCTTTGAGCCATGAACATCCAGGTAAGAATTGGTCTTCAACAACCCATGCTTGTGGTAAGAGGTGTCTAGGCTGGGTGGTCAGGCTCGCTGACTTGATTTGACACGTCATCTTATCCCAACTGCATACTTCGGTGCTTATGATGTCAATCACTGGATTGTCTGGTTCAGGTTTATCTATTTACAGACATGTATCTAGAACATTGCTTGAGTGTGGCATTTAACTACCAACAACAAACTTTGAGCTTTCCATCCAAATTGAGGCAACACACACTAGGGTACTGTACAACATTAGACTGATTCACTCACTCACAAACTGACCGTGAAGGTCCGGGTTAGAATTGATCTTCAGTAACCCATGCTTGTGGTAAGAGGCAACTAACAGGATCGTGTGGTCAGACTCACTGACTTGGCTGACTCATGTGATTGGTTCCCAATTGCGCAGATCGATGCTCATGCTGTTGATCACTGGATTGTCTGGTCCAGACTCGATTATTTACAGATATCTGTTACATTCATTGTAAGCCCATTAAGATGGGCAGGACTGGTGTTGAAAGCAGTGCATATGTTGAAGCAAAATGTTCAATGGCTGCAGTAAAGACCCTATGGTATAAGGCAGGCTGCAGTAAAGACCCTATGGTATAAGGCAGGCTGCAGTAAAGACCCTATGGTATAAGGCAGGCTGCAGTAAAGACCCTATGGTATAAGGCAGGCTGCAGTAAAGACCCTATGGTATATGGCAGGCTGCAGTAAAGACCCTATGGTATAAGGCAGGCTGCAGTAAAGACCCTATGGTATAAGGCAGGCTGCAGAAAAGACCCTATGGTATGAGGCAGGCTGCAGTAAAGACCCTATGGTATAAGGCAGGCTGCAGGAAAGACCCTATGGTATATGGCAGGCTGCAGTAATGACCCTATGGTATAAGGCAGGCTGCAGTAAAGACCCTATGGTATAAGACAGGCTGCAGTAAAGACCCTATGGTATAAGGCAGGCTGCAGTAAAGACCCTATGGTATAAGAGAGGCTGCAGTAAAGACCCTATGGTATGAGGCAGGCTGCAGTAAAGACCCTATGGTATAAGGCAGGCTGCAGTAAAGACCCTTTGGTATAAGGCAGGCTGCAGTAAAGACCCTATGGTATAAGGCAGGTTGCAGTAAATACTGTATGGTATAAGACAGGCTGCAGTAAATTCCCTATGGTATATTGCAGGCTGCAGTAAAGACCCTATGGTATAAGACAGGCTGCAGTAAAGACCCTATGGTATAAGACAGGCTGCAGTAAAGACCCTATGGTACACGGCAGGTTGCGAAAAGACCCTATGGTACAAGGCAGGTTTCAGTAAAGACCCTATGGTACAAGGCAGGTTGCAGTAAAGACCCTATGGTATAAGACAGGCTGCAGTAAAGACCCTATGGTATAAGGCAGGCTGCAGTAAAGACCCTATGGTATAAGACAGGCTGCAGTAAAGACCCTATGGTATGAGGCAGGCTGCAGTAAAGACCCTATGGTATAAGGCAGGCTGCAGTAAAGACCCTATGGTATATGGCAGGCTGCAGTAAAGACCCTATGGTATAAGGCAGGCTGCAGTAAAGACCCTATGGTATAAGACAGGCTGCAGTAAAGACCCTATGGTATAAGGCAGGCTGCAGTAAAGACCCTATGGTATAAGGCAGGCTGCAGTAAAGACCCTATGGTATAAGACAGGCTGCAGTAAAGACCCTATGGTATAAGACAGGCTGCAGTAAAGACCCTATGGTATAAGACAGGCTGCAGTAAAGACCCTATGGTATAAGGCAGGCTGCAGTAAAGACCCTATGGTATAAGGCAGGCTGCAGTAAAGACCCTATGGTATATGGCAGGCTGCAGTAAAGACCCTTTGGTATGAGGCAGGCTGCAGTAAAGACCCTATGGTATAAGGCAGGCTGCAGTAAAGACCCTATGGTATATGGCAGGCTGCAGTAAAGACCCTATGGTATAAGGCAGGCTGCAGTAAAGACCCTATGGTATATTGCAGGCTGCAGTAAAGACCCTTTGGTATGAGGCAGGCTGCAGTAAAGACCCTATGGTATATGGCAGGCTGCAGTAAAGACCCTATGGTATATGGCAGGCTGCAGTAAAGACCCTATGGTATAAGGCAGGCTGCAGTAAAGACCCTATGGTATAAGGCAGGCTGCAGTAAAGACCCTATGGTATAAGGCAGGTTGCAGTAAAGACCCTATGGTATAAGGCAGGTTGCAGTAAATACTGTATGGTATAAGACAGGCTGCAGTAAATTCCCTATGGTATATTGCAGGCTGCAGTAAAGACCCTATGGTATAAGACAGGCTGCAGTAAAGACCCTATGGTATAAGACAGGCTGCAGTAAAGACCCTATGGTACACGGCAGGTTGCGAAAAGACCCTATGGTATAAGACAGGCTGCAGTAAAGACCCTATGGTATAAGGCAGGCTGCAGTAAAGACCCTATGATATATGGCAGGCTGCAGTAAAGACCCTATGGTATAAGGCAGGCTGCAGTAAAGACCCTATGGTATATTGCAGGCTGCAGTAAAGACCCTTTGGTATGAGGCAGGCTGCAGTAAAGACCCTATGGTATATGGCAGGCTGCAGTAAAGACCCTATGGTATATGGCAGGCTGCAGTAAAGACTCTATGGTATAAGGCAGGCTGCAGTAAAGACCCTATGGTATAAGGCAGGCTGCAGTAAAGACCCTATGGTATAAGGCAGGTTGCAGTAAAGACCCTATGGTATAAGGCAGGTTGCAGTAAATACTGTATGGTATAAGACAGGCTGCAGTAAATTCCCTATGGTATATTGCAGGCTGCAGTAAAGACCCTATGGTATAAGACAGGCTGCAGTAAAGACCCTATGGTATAAGACAGGCTGCAGTAAAGACCCTATGGTACACGGCAGGTTGCGAAAAGACCCTATGGTACAAGGCAGGTTTCAGTAAAGACCCTATGGTACAAGGCAGGTTGCAGTAAAGACCCTATGGTATAAGGCAAACTGCAGTAAAGTCCCTATGGTATAAGGCACTGCTTTGCTGAGTTATGTCCCTTAGAAGTGGCAGGATCAGGTAATGTGACACTGTTGGTTGTTACAGAACTGCATCACTGCGTCGGAGCTCACAGGATTACTCCAGTTGATGTCAACAGTCGGCCATCTTCCTGCCTCACCAACTTCCTGCTTGGTGGTAAGTGTTTTGTGTGCCAGATGGCCCTGCGCTGAAACCCGGCTGAGAGACCCGCGAAGATACGGGTTAGAATTGATCTTCAGTAACCCATGCTTGTCGTATGAGGCGACAAACGGGATCAAGTGATCAGGCTCACTGACTTGGTTGACCCATATGTCATCGCTTCCCAATTGCGTAGATCAATGATCAGGCTCACTGACTTGGTTGACACATGTCATCAGTTCCCAATTGCTTAGATCGATGCTTATGATGTTGATCACTGTATTGTCTGGTACAGACTCGATCATTTACAGAGAGATGCCAGAGTGTGATGTAAAACTAAACTCACTCACTCAGAGCTGAGAGGTGGAAACCTTGCAGTTAAGGTGCTTGCATGTTAGAAGCTATTTCATTGTCTTAGAGAATTATACCTGATAAAGCTTGCCAATAAAAAACTAACCAGCCATTCAACCACTCGTATCAACTCACATACAATCATCCTTTTCCAAACAACATCCCACACAACCTACCATGCAAACTATAAATTATTTTTTGTTTTAAAAATTGGAAAACACAAATGTATCCATTTATTTCCCTGTTCTGTTCCATCAATATGTAATTCCAACAGATCTATGGCTACACTTGGTAAAACAGATTGGAATATATCAATGGATAACATTAACCAACCTTGGTTAGAGTCGCCTCTGTACAGCCTAAAATATCTTTGTGCTTTCCATTATAATTAATGAGATGTGAACATTTAGATGTTTAATCTACATACTCAATAAACCCTAACCCAAACCCTAACCCCAAATTCCAACCCCGACCCTCACCCCGACCCTGACCCTAACCCCAAACCTAAACTCCAATGCCAACCCTCACCCCGACCCCAACCATAACCCCTAAACCTTAACCCCAAATCCCCAACCCCAACCATAACCCATAACCCATAACCCCAACCCTAACCTGGCCCAGACCGTCCTATAGTGAATCAGGATGTGTGATTTGTGTCTGAGATATTTGTTTCACTTCAGTGATTATAAACAAATGTAAATGTGATATTGCATCTTTATACCCCTATATTTAATGGCAAGACACATATTAAGCTTATAAACCAAGACTGATTTGATGCATAATTTTGTGTATGGAACTGACATCCTCTGTATCCAGGCCGGGCCGTTATGCTGGAGCAGCCCCGTAAGACCGGTGCCAAAGTGATCTCGCACATGCTGACGAGCCACGGAGGCGAGATATTCATACACACCATCCCTACAGCCAGGTCCATCTTGGAAGACCCTCCCTCCATCAGTGAAGGCAGCGGAGGTCGAGTGACAGACTACAGGATACCTGTAAGTATATTGTGTACAGACATCTCACCTGTACAGCCACACCCTCCCTCCATCAGTGAAGGCAGTGGAGGTCGAGTGACAGACAACAGGATACCTGTAAGTATATTGTGTACAGACATCTCACCTGTACAGCCACACCCTCCCTCCATCAGTGAAGGCAGTGGAGGTCGAGTGACAGACTACAGGATACCTGTAAGTATATTGTGTACAGACATCTCACCTGTACAGCCACATCCTCCCTCCATCAGTGAAGGCAGCGGAGGTCCAGTGACAGACAACAGGATACCTGTAAGTATATTGTGTACAGACATCTCACCTGTACAGCCACACCCTCCCTCCATCAGTGAAGGCAGCGGAGGTCGAGTGACAGACTATAGGATACCTGTAAGTATATTGTGTACAAACATCTCACCTGTACATCACACCCTCCCACTATCAGTGAAGGCAGTGGAGGTCGAGTGACAGACTACAGGATACCTGTAAGTATATTGTGTACAGACATCTCACCTGTACAGCCACACCCTCCCTCCATCAGTGAAGACAGCGGAGGTCGAGTGACAGACTACAGGATACAGACATCTGAATGGAGACTTACCTCTCACAAGTTGGACAACTGCTTCAGGTGGATGTCCAGTTTGGACAGCAAACATCTTCATAGAATCAAACCTGACACAAGATGGAGAATCTACCTTTCACAGTGAAAAATTTGACTTACATTGTAGCAACCTTCAGTTCATTAAATAGTCAGCTCACATGCCGTGATCATTCTTATCTCTAGCTGTTGTTGTTTTCAGGACTTTGGTGAGTTCATGAAGTCCAATCGTCTGGCTCCAGGAACAGCCATCACCCTTGAAGACAGGGTTGGGAAACCCATAGAGAGAGGTACCCCTTATATAGATGTGTCACACTAGCTTCAAGATTGATAATGTTTAGTTCAAACTGATGTCATGGTCGACACCACACCACACCATACCACAAAACAAAACAAAACAACACACCACTATGTACACCACCACACCACACCACACCACATCACACCACACAACACAACACCACACCACACAACACACCTCAACACATCACACCCAACACACAACACACAACAACAATCACACACAACACACACAGACAACACATCACACAACACAACATACAACACACACACACACCACAACACTATTTACACCACAACACAACACTATTTACACCACCACACAACATAACACACACCACACCACACCACACTACACACACCACACCACACCAGCATCATTATGCAAATACAGCATTCTTACCCACACAATATTGTGGATTGTTATTGATAGTTATTGATTGACAATCATAATTGGTTATTTACTCATAGACTGTACTTGTTGATGATTAACAGTGACTGCGCCTGTCTGACTTTCAGCCCAACAACACCTGGAGAGACTGACCAGGGTGTGGCCGATGGTCATCGGGGAGACCATTATGTTCAACATGGTGGCGGTCAGTATCACACCCAAACTGTTCTGTGTTTTGAGCTGGTAAATGTTTCCACACAACTCTTCCCACCCTTCAAGGACAGAGTCATTTAAAGACCATAGCCATAATAGCCATTAATCATATGCTGTAAAACAAAAAAAAACAACATTCTTTACTGAACAGAGTTGTGTCCCTTAGCTGCTAGGATCTGCTGTGGGTTCAAATCACAGATGATCTTTGGTCTGTTGGTTACATGCCTGCCATTGTACATGGTTTCCCTAAACAGGTGATCATATACAGCCTGCATCAGTTTGTGCTTCAACGTGGTGTATAAAACATTTCCTTCCCCTCCCCAGACTCTGGAGCCCTTCCTAAACCTCATCACACAGGCTACCCTGAGTAATGATGATATACAGCCAGCATCAGTTTGTGCTTCTACGTGGTGTATAAAACATTTCCTTCCCTTCCCCAGACTCTGGAGCCCTTCCTAAACCTCATCACACAGGCAACCCTCAGTAATGATGATATACAGCCTGCATCAGTTTGTGCTTCTGCACTTGGTGTATAAAACATTTCCTTCCCCTCCCCAGACTCTGGAGCCCTTCCTAAACCTCATCACACAGGCTACCCTGAGTAATGATGATATACAGCCTGCATCAGTTTGTGCTTCTACGTGGTGTATAAAACATTTCCTTCCCCTCCCCAGACTCTGGAGCCCTTCCTAAACCTCATCACACAGGCTACCCTGAGTAATGATGATATACAGCCTGCATCAGTTTGTGCTTCTACGTGGTGTATAAAACATTTCCTTCCCCTCCCCAGACTCTGGAGCCCTTCCTAAACCTCATCACACAGGCTACCCTCAGTGATGATGATATACAGCCTGCATCAGTTTGTGCTTCTACGTGGTGTATAAAACATTTCCTTCCTCCCAGACTCTGGAGCCCTTCCTAAACCTCATCACACACAGGCAACCCTCAGTAATGATGATATACAGCCAGCATCAGTTTGTGCTTCTAATGGTGTATAAACATTTCCTTCCCTCCCCAGACTCTGGAGCCCTTCCTAAACCTCATCACACAGGCTACCCTCAGTAATGATGATATACAGCCAGCATCAGTTTGTGCTTCTAACTGTGGTGTATAAAACATTTCCTTCCTCCCCAGACTCTGGAGCCCTTCCTAAACCTCATCACACAGGCTACCCTGAGTAATGATGATATACAGCCTGCATCAGTTTGTGCTTCTACGTGGTGTATAAACATTTCCTTCCCTCCCCAGACTCTGGAGCCTTCCTAAACCTCATCACACAGGCTACCCTGAGTAATGATGATATACAGCCTGCATCAGTTTGTGCTTCATGCGGTGTATAAAACATTTCCTTCCCTCCCCCAGACTCTGAGCCCTTCCTAAACCTCATCACACAGGCTACCCTGAGTAATGATGATATACAGCCTGCATCAGTTTGTGCTTCTACGTGGTGTATAAACATTTCTTCCTCCCCAGACTCTGGAGCCCTTCCTAAACCTCATCACACAGGCTACCCTCAGTGATGATGATATACAGTCTGCATCAGTTTGTGCTTCTACATGGGTGTATAAAACATTTCCTTCCCTCCCCAGACTCTGGAGCCCTTCCTAAACCTCATCACACAGGCAACCCTCAGTAATGATGATATACAGTCTGCATCAGTTTGTGCTTCTACGTGGTGTATAAAACATTTCCTTCCCCTCCCCAGACTCTGGAGCCCTTCCTAAACCTCATCACACAGGCTACCCTGAGTAATGATGATATACAGCCTGCATCAGTTTGTGCTTCTAATGTGGTGTATAAAACATTTCCTTCCCTCCCCAGACTCTGGAGCCCTTCCTAAACCTCATCACACAGGCAACCCTCAGTAATGATGATATACAGCCTGCATCAGTTTGTGCTTCTACGTGGTGTATAAAACATTTCCTTCCCCTCCCCAGACTCTGGAGCCCTTCCTAAACCTCATCACACAGGCAACCCTCAGTAATGATGATATACAGCCTGCATCAGTTTGTGCTTCTACGTGGTGTATAAAACATTTCCTTCCCCTCCCCAGACTCTGGAGCCCTTCCTAAACCTCATCACACAGGCAACCCTCAGTAATGATCATATACAGCCTGCATCAGTTTGTGCTTCTACGTGGTGTATAAAACATTTCCTTCCCTCCCCAGACTCTGGAGCCCTTCCTAAACCTCATCACACAGGCTACCCTGAGTAATGATGATATACAGCCTGCATCAGTTTGTGCTTCTACGTGGTGTATAAAACATTTCCTTCCTCCCCAGACTCTGGGCCCTTCCTAAACCTCATCACACAGGCAACCCTCAGTAATGATCATATACAGCCTGCATCAGTTTGTGCTTCTACGTGGTGTATAAAACATTTCCTTCCCCTCCCCAGACTCTGGAGCCCTTCCTAAACCTCATCATCACAGGCTACCCTGAGTAATGATGATATACAGCCTGCATCAGTTTGTGCTTCTAATGGGTGTATAAACATTTCCTTCCCCTCCCCAGACTCTGGAGCCTTTCCTAAACCTCATCACACAGGCTACCCTGAGTAATGATGATATACAGCCTGCATCAGTTTGTGCTTCTACGTGGTGTATAAAACATTTCCTTCCTCTCCCAGACTCTGAGCCCTTCCTAAACCTCATCACACAGGCAACCCTCAGTAATGATCATATACAGCCTGCATCAGTTTGTGCTTCTACGTGGTGTATAAAACATTTCCTTCCTCCCAGACTCTGGAGCCCTTCCTAAACCTCATCACACAGGCTACCCTCAGTAATGATGATATACAGCCTGCATCAGTTTGTGCTTCTACGTGGTGTATAAAACATTTCCTTCCTCCCAGACTCTGGAGCCCTTCCTAAACCTCATCACACAGGCAACCCTCAGTAATGATGATATACAGTCTGCATCAGTTTGTGCTTCTCGTGGTGTATAAAACATTTCCTTCCCTCCCCAGACTCTGGAGCCCTTCCTAAACCTCATCACACAGGCTACCCTGAGTAATGATGATATACAGCCTGCATCAGTTTGTGCTTCTACGTGGTGTATAAACATTTCCTTCCCTCCCCAGACTCTGAGCCCTTCCTAAACCTCATCACACAGGCAACCCTCAGTAATGATGATATACAGCCTGCATCAGTTTGTGCTTCTACGTGGTGTATAAAACATTTCCTTCCCCTCCCCAGACTCTGGAGCCCTTCCTAAACCTCATCACACAGGCAACCCTCAGTAATGATGATATACAGCCTGCATCAGTTTGTGCTTCTACGTGGTGTATAAAACATTTCCTTCCCCTCCCCAGACTCTGGAGCCCTTCCTAAACCTCATCACACAGGCAACCCTCAGTAATGATGATATACAGCCTGCATCAGTTTGTGCTTCTACGTGGTGTATAAAACATTTCCTTCCCCTCCCCAGACTCTGGAGCCCTTCCTAAACCTCATCACACAGGCTACCCTGAGTAATGATGATATACAGCCTGCATCAGTTTGTGCTTCTACGTGGTGTATAAAACATTTCCTTCCCCTCCCCAGACTCTGGAGCCCTTCCTAAACCTCATCACACAGGCAACCCTCAGTAATGATGATATACAGCCTGCATCAGTTTGTGCTTCTACGCAGTGTATAAAACATTTCCTTTCCCTCCCCAGACTCTGGAGCCCTTCCCTAAACCTCATCACACAGGCTACCCTGAGTAATGATGATATACAGCCTGCATCAGTTTGTGCTTCTAACGTGGTGTATAAAACATTTCCTTCCCTCCCCAGACTCTGGAGCCCTTCCTAAACCTCATCACACAGGCTACCCTGAGTAATGATGATATACAGCCTGCATCAGTTTGTGCTTCTACGTGGTGTATAAACATTTCCTTCCCTCCCCAGACTCTGGAGCCCTTTCCTAAACCTCATCACACAGGCTACCCTCAGTGATGATGATATACAGTCTGCATCAGTTTGTGCTTCTAATGGTGTATAAAACATTTCCTTCCCTCCCAGACTCTGGAGCCCTTCCTAAACCTCATCACACAGGCAACCCTCAGTAATGATGATATACAGTCTGCATCAGTTTGTGCTTCTGCACTTGGTGTATAAAACATTTCCTTCCCCTCCCAGACTCTGGAGCCCTTCCTAAACCTCATCACACAGGCTACCCTGAGTAATGATGATATACAGCCTGCATCAGTTTGTGCTTCTCATTGGTGTATAAAACATTTCCTTCCCTCCCCAGACTCTGGAGCCCTTCCTAAACCTCATCACACAGGCTACCCTCAGTGATGATCATGATATACAGTCTGCATCAGTTTGTGCTTCTACGTGGTGTATAAAACATTTCCTTCCCTCCCCAGACTCTGGAGCCCTTCCTAAACCTCATCACACAGGCTACCCTGAGTAATGATGATATACAGCCTGCATCAGTTTGTGCTTCTAATGTGGTGTATAAAACATTTCCTTCCCTCCCCAGACTCTGGAGCCCTTCCTAAACCTCATCACACAGGCAACCCTCAGTAATGATGATATACAGTCTGCATCAGTTTGTGCTTCTACGTGGTGTATAAAACATTTCCTTCCCCTCCCCAGACTCTGGAGCCCTTCCTAAACCTCATCACACAGGCTACCCTCAGTGATGATGATATACAGCCTGCATCAGTTTGTGCTTCTACGTGGTGTATAAAACATTTCCTTCCCCTCCCCAGACTCTGGAGCCCTTCCTAAACCTCATCACACAGGCTACCCTCAGTGATGATGAAGTTCTGGAGTGCAAGAAGGTCATCTACAAAGTGGTTGGTATGGAGAGCAAGAATGAGGCTTTACCATTCCCTGTACTTGGGTCAAGGGGGAAAGGGCCCAAGAGGTGAGAGCTGGGACACAGTTGAAGAATTTGTAAAAAAAAGTTTTTTTAGAAATATCCTGTTCATGATTGCTGATGATTTTACACTGATTCAAGCGATTCAGCACAATTGGCCGAGTGGTTGAATTCATATCCTGAAGTTTTGGCCCTTAGTTGTAACAGGATCTTTTGGCTTTGCTTTAGATTAAACATTTTGATTGATTATCTTCCTTCTGTAAGCACTGCACCTGGCCTTCCTTTAACTGTGTGCTGTGATTTAACTGAAATGTTGCTATGTAAAACACAATCGTTCCTTCACTCATGGTTCTCACGCAGGGAGGAGCAGTACCGACAGCTGTGGACAGAGTTGGAGATGTTGGTGCGGGCGCATGTGTTGACGTCGCCGTTCCACGAGAAGGTGCTGGAGTGTCTGCTGGAGTGCAAGAAGCCGTCAGATGATGCAAAGGGCTCACCGAAGAAGCCACTGGAGAAGTCTGCCACCAAGGATGAAAAGATGGAGGTGTCCGAGCAGGAGGATTCATGGAAGGATTATGATAAGTAAGTCCACGCAGTTTTCTCCCTTTAATCTCACAAAAGTCAGTTTTAACATTTGTCATCCCAAACTAAAATATTTCTCTTCATTGTTATCATGTAATTTCATGATGGATTTCATGATTTGCGTTATGGAGGGTAACAGCAGATGACGGAATGCCTGTCAACACTGACAGAACGTGGGTCTGTATTTGTTGACAAGATGGCTTCCCAGTGACATGTCAGCCGATTGTTTCTGTTTCTATGTTGTTACATATGTCACCTCATTAATTTACAGAATGAAAAGAATGACAGAAAGGGAGAAGCAAGATTTCCTGAAAGGAGACAAATCACTGGACCCTTCACCACCAAAGAAATTCAAGGCAGAGGAATCATTTATCAGATCAGGCGGTCAGTTTCTTAAATGTGGAATATAATTCTTAGGCATACAAAAAACTCTAATCTCACCATCGCCATATATCCAGTATTCTGGCTGTGACCCCGCTGTGAAAACCGTCAACAGAAGTACTCTTCACTGTCAAATGTTTAACATTCTTCCATGTTGAGTATTTCTACAGTCATGTGTACCTGTATTTACATTTGTCAGAGACTTCCTTGTATATATCAGATGTTTGCAGTGGACAGACACGATATAGCAGCGCATTTGGTTATACAAGAATCAGATTGTACATGGCTGTCATGTTAATCATGATAATGATTAAATATTCATTAAATTGTAAATATTTGTTATCCTCCGCTACGCGTTTTGTGGGGGGGGGGTATTAAAATGGACTCCCGTCCGTCCGTGCACATTTATCTTTTCCAGAGCAGAACTCTAAAACTGTTCAATATTTCTTCACCAATCTTGGCACATAGATTGGTCTGGTGGTGTACTGGTGCCTTTTGGTAGTTTTGGAATTCTGAATAAAATCATTTTGGCGTTTCCATGGCAACAAGTTTGACTTAGCCTGAAATTGGTGGTAGTGCTCTTTCCCGAAGCTGAACTCTAAAACCGTTCGCTATTTCTTCACCAAACTTGGCACATAGATAGATCTGGTGGTGTACTGGTGCCTTTTGGTAGTTTTAGAATTCTGAATAAAACAGTTTTGACATTTCCATGGCAACAAGTTTGACATAGACTGAAATTGGTGATAGTGCTCCTTTCTGGAGCAGAACTTTAAAAAACCTTTCAACACTCTCCTTCCACTTTTCTATATACACACCTAAATATTTGACATAATCATAACTCATAGACATAATCATGAAGAGTATTTTGCCATTGCTGGGGATATTGATGACTTTGTCTTCTTGTTCATAAATTACACAACATTGTTCTCAAACCAGAAACTGTTTACATTTTGGATTAATCGACCAGTATATTAATCAGAACTTATAGACTACAGTATATTTTCCTCTATTTTCATAATTTTTTCTTATCCTGCCTCATGATCTTTTGCTTATCTCCCTTTCCCTTGCGAATGGTAGTGGAACACTTGAATCCCTTGAAGTTCCCGAAGCGGACATACGGCATTATATCCTTTTGATTTAGGTCCTATTCTTTAAAATTATGTTGTGTATGGATTTGGCTATAACTACATTGTATTAGATGTAAAAATTTTGAAAAAAATATTTGTACATGTGTCATAATTTCATCGTGATGTAACTTGTTTACATTTCATGAAATCTTGCAGTGTTTGCAGGCACAGGTTATCCGTGGCTGATCCTCACCCCCAATGCTTTTGTGCATCAAACCATGTTCTTCCAGCTTGCGCTGTACTTATTGTGTTGATTTATCAAATCTACAATTCAATCAATATTTGTCCATAGACGTGCCATGGGTCGGGTGAGGAAGTCATCTCAAGTCACGGCTGATAAAACAGGAGATCAGCCTGCAAACCGTATGTTGCTTGCTACTGCTGAAATTAATAATACTAGTGCTATGTTGAGTACGTTGCAGGGGCAGTCTGCTGGTACGGGGGTCAAGAAGAGATCGGCTGCAACGCAGTTGACTCCGACTCAAGCTAAGAAAAAGACGTCGTCTTCTTCTACGTCGCAGAAGAAAGCATCTGTTACTAGATCGGAGGGTAAATCTACACGGCCTAGTAAGTCAATGCATCAGAAATCCTTCAATGAAGAGATTTTACCTCCGCATGGAGTAGATGTTTTTGATGATCCCCCGTTACTTCTACCCAAAGTACCTACGAGATCGGCGACTCAATCGACTTCCTCGACTACTAGATCGTCTCCTGCAACTGTCACAGCAGGCCAGCTGTTTGACGAACTACCAACAACTTCTCAACGGAGTGAAGTCGAGACACACAACTCATCAGGGTTCGCGACCGTTTCATCTACACCACAGCAGCTTCAATCAATGCAGAACTTTGATCCTGGTGAATTCACCAACCAGATGATGGCCATGATGGAACATAGGTTTGAGGAAGAAGCGAAGGCTCGGCGAAGCCTCTAATCTACTGACATCGTGCGCAAACCTACGGACCTGTGCGAACCCACGGACCTGCGTGAACCTACTCCTCATAGAACCCCGTCTCAAGACTACGTTGGCGAACGTACACCTTTGCGAAGGTCTCCACAGTCTGACGACTTCGTCATCTTGGAGGAGGATAGAAGACATGAGATGCCTACTCACTGTTCTACATCTGCGAACCCTCAACGTTCGAGAACATCGAAGGATCCATCTCCTACATCTAGCTGCTCTAGATTGAGATCTCATATCTCTCACAGACGTTGATACATCTAGCGACAGAGGTTCGCGAAGAGAAGGATCACGTCACAGAGGTTCACGAAGAGATGAATCCACAGATAGAGGATAGCAAAGAGAGGAATCTTCAGACAGAGGTTCGCGAAGGGATCATGGAGGTTCGAGAAGGGATACAGGTTCGCAGAAGGATGATTCGCGGAGGCATAGCTCTACCGATCAGGGGATAACTGATGAACAACCAGACTTCGTCTTCCCGGACTCAGAGGTTACAGCTTGGATATCCAATGGTTTGAACTTGGAGTCTCCTTCTAAGGATATAGATGAAGTCTACACTTATAAGATGGGTAATGACGACTTTGACTTGGTGACTATTCCTCCGATTGAACCTATATCCAAGATACCTGCTAACCTACACACAGCTTTGAGAAAGCTGCAGACATTTACAAGGTTCGAGAACTCTTAGATCTACAGGCAGATAACAGCAACGCAGACATCTACAGGATTTGTGAACCCTTACATCAACAGGCAGGATGTTGACGTCCACTCTATTACCATAAGGCTGGATAAAATGAAGCTATGATGAAAACGGATGGTTTTGTCAGAGTTTATAACTCAACAAAAAGATCGACAACATGTGTGATCTCTACAGTTTACAGCCTGCACAACTCTACAGGCTTCAGAGACAATCTTAAGAGGTACCTACTTTGGTGGACCCACAGGTCGAACGTCTGCGGAGGGACCTATTTACAAGAGCTGGCCTTCGACACACATCTCTTCGTAGACGCATCAATACAAGGTTTGGGTGCACATCTCAACAATCAAGTTGCATCAAGGAAGTGGTCCAAAACAGAGCAGCATCTTCACATCAATCTGCTGGTGATGAAAGCTGTGGTCAAGGCCTTACAACTATGGTCGAGCTTGCTGATCAACAGAATGCTGATGGTACACACGGAGAACTCTACAGTGGCATTCTCCATAAATCGACAAGGATCTACAAGATCACCAAGCCTACTACAGCTCACATTCCAGTTGTTTGACATCACGGAGGAGGCAAACATCTGGATAAAAGCGTGTCACATACCCGGACACTTGCTTGCAGACACTCTCTCTCGACCACTGCACCCGTCACCTACGGAATGGATGCTCCATCCAGAAGCATTTCGGCTCATCATAAGAGAAATAGGATCCCCATGCATAGACCTGCCACAAGGTTCAACAAACAACTACAGACGTTTGTCTCACCAGTTCCAGATCCTCAAGCCTGGGCAACAGATGCACTGAACATATCATGGGAAGGACTGACACAGGCACTACAACTGACCTTGGTCACGCCATACTGGCCAGCGAGAGTATGGTTCCTACACCTAATAGAAGATCTCGGAAGTCCAACAATCAAGTTACCAGATTGGCCGAACCTACTCATACATCCGCTCACCAAGCAAGTCCACGGGAACCCAACACTGTTCCAGCTACACATGTGGACCATATCAAAACATGTTTGAAAAAAAGAGGATACTCTGCCAGGGCAGCCAATGCATGAATGCTAGCGTTACGCAGATCTACTCGTAACATGTATGATGACAAGTGGCTGAAGTTTGAGACTTATGCAAGGCGGAAAGGCTTCATTGCTATGAAAGCTACTCATCCTCAAGTGACAGAATACCTGTATCATCTTTGACAGACTAGACATCTGAAAGGTTCGACATTATCTACATACCTCGCTGCCATCAGTACAGTTGTAACCATGAAAAAAGGCATCAATTTGATGAAAGTACCAGAATTACTTTCTCTGCTGAGATCTTTGAAACTGGAGGACCATCAAAAGAAGTTCAGAGCTCCAGCCTGGGATCTGAATGTAATTCTACGTCATCTTACACAGACTACCTATGAACCTCTAGGTCATCTTACCCAGACTACCCTCGAGCTGCTGACACAGAAGACTCTGTTCCTGCTTGTGCTAGCCACTGCAGTTCGGATATCAGAGATACATACGCTGGACTTTGGTCGAACCAGATTCGACACAGGGCAACATGCTGCAGTTCATCTAGGACTTAAATGGGACATCATTGCCAAGAACAAACTACCTGCTCAGCCAGATAGACAGTTCCACGTTCCAGCGCTATCTACAATCCTCGGACCAGAGGATATAGAGGACCTATCCTTGTGTCCGGTCAGAGCCCTGACGATATATCTTCAAAAGACTAAGACAAAAAAATTCAAGCACCTGTTCATCCCATTATCCCCAGAGACATCAGTAGAAGTCTCAAGAACGATGATATCGTTCTGGATGAGAGCCGTCATATTGAGAGCCTATAAAGCAGCAAGACTAGAACCCCCAACCCACATGAAGTCAGAGCACTGGCGTCAACATTGGCTCTGCACGGAAATTGCTCTATATCAGCAATTATGGAGGGCTGCTTTTGGAAGTCAGATATGGTGTTTGCTCACCGCTACCTCCGAGACATAGCCACTGAAGGCGTCTCAGGCATTCACTAATTTGGGACTCTCATTGTAGCACAGCAACTAACGGTTCCTCAAAGGTGCTGAGTTGGAAAATGTCACCATCTATCACGTTGACTTGTTGATAACTTTTACTAAGGAAAAGTATTAGTATGAAAGTCCATGCACACAATCTAGGACAGACTAGCATGAGTGATTAAAGATCCTGTACGGGTAAAGATCTTACCTGTACGTGAAGGGGTCGCAACTCATTTATGATAAAAATCTTATCATAATCTATGGGTTGTTATAAGATATCTAGTAAAAAGAAGATACTAGTTTATCTGAAGCCAAATTAATCAAGATGATTCAACTTGTCTGAGATGGAAGTAAGACAAGAAGTGGTCCCCCCGAGTTACAATGGAAGTTGGAAGAATAGGATCTCGGAATGCCGCTACACAGTTCCCATTAGGGGGGATACAGGTCGTATCTAGAGGACAGCTGATGAATCCAGGAAGTGGCCTGACCGGCCACCAATCTGCAGGATTCTATAAGCGAAAGATCATGAGTCAGGATAAGAGAAAATATGTATTTTTTCAAGTAAAATTGATATTTTTATACTTATCCTGACTCATGACGAGAAGCCCTCCCAACCTCCCCGCTGGAAACACTTCGGATTGCACAGCAGATCCAAGTGCTTGGGCAGAAACATCAGGAGAGAGTGACAAGTAAGGCTTGTCACATGACTGTTTACATGGGAAAAGGGAGCTGACTCGTGGGTGAGTATTTTATGTCTGGAACTTCAAGGATTCACTGTTCCACTGGGGCGAAAGGGTAGCCTAATGGTTAAAGCGGGTGAGTGTAAGACCCGGTTCGAATCCCCACATGTCCACAATGTGAACTTCTGGTGTCCCCCGCCGTGATGTTGCTGGAATATTGCTAAAAGCGGCGTAAAACCAAACTCAGTCAGTCAGTCAAGTGTTCCACTACCATTCACAAGGGAAAGGGAGATAAGCAAAAGATCATGAGTCAGGATAAGTATAAAAATATCAATTTTACTTGAAAAATTACATTTTTAATCATATTATTTTTCAAGTGTACCAAAGATAATGATCAAATAACAATTATAAATTCATCATAAATAAACCGATGTATTGTTTTCAGGCCAGAACCTGCTTTCAATGTGGACCAATCGCATCAAGACAATACACAACAAGCGACACATCGAGTTTGCCGGTCGTGAGGACACTAGCGGTCCAGTAGCCGAGTTGTACATACATCTCAACGATGATGAGTAAGTGGTGAATTACCCTGTCCTCACATCCGGGTGTAAGTAGCCCAATAGTGTTTGCTTGTTACTCCGGAGAACCAGGTTCAATTCCCTATATGGCATGGGTACAATGTGTGAAGCCCCTTTCTGGTGTCATCTGACATAATACTGCTGGAATATTGTTTAAAGCAGCATAGAATCCACTCACTCACTCTTCACGTACAACACTTGCATCGAATCATTAAGGGGGACTTTGTTAGAAGCCCACTTCTTATCTCCCATTTTGATGTTGCTGGATTATTGCTATTAGTGGTTAAAAATCTCTTTCACATTCACTCACTCACTCTCAGAAGCAGTTTAGCAAATTAATATCTTGGTATGCATAATATGAATTTGGTGTCACATTCTTAAAGATTTACTTCCACGCCAGCATAACAGACCTCAGATTACTGAAATGGGGATTCTAGTTCATTTCCATATTTAACTTCACTGTGGAATATTGAACACTTCACTAATAGATAATTTCTTTTAAACAACAGAGACCAGCTGCCGGCGGAGCAGACGTCACAGACATCCAAGTCTGGCACCAACCCCAAGTCACAGCAGACGTTAAAACGTTGACATATCATCATCAACAAGTTGACATATTGTCTGCAAGTCTTTAGCCTCACGTCAGCCTTGGACTCAGTTGATAATGAAATATTGGTAAACTTAAAACAATATGGATAGCACTGATTTTGGATATTTGTACCTCTAAGGACTTTCTTCTGTTGGGTTACATAATTTGGTGTCATTGCTACTGATGATGGGTTTGAACCCAGACTCACTTGGGTGGCCCAGTGGAATAAACACCATGGTCAAGCAATGCCAGGATCAACTTTTAGTGGGTTTGAATCCCTGATTCACCCTATTTATGATTCTGGGTGTGAATGCTTCAAATGTGTTAATGGACCTCAATGTGATAATGGGATGGTGGGGGAGGCTAGTGGTGAAAGCATTCACTCTTCGCTGCGAAGACCTGAGTTCGATTCCCCAGATTGGTACAATGTGTGAAGCCAGTTTCTGGTATACCCAGCCATGATATTGCTTTGGAATATTGCTAAAAGAGGTGTAAAACCTAACTCATTCACTCAGACTCAATAATAACTTGATCATTCTGTATATATGTAATGGAAGCTTGTTTTAAAGGAAATCTCACATGAGGAATAAAATATTTCTTCACATATTTGTGTTTGTTTATTTTGAAGCCAGCCGGGATACGGGGTTGAATACATTATTCGGGTGTTGATTTGTGGAATAAAGTGTCTGGTCCAATGCTTGTCGTAAGAGGTGACCTGTGAGGTTTGAAATGTTTCTTTCCACATTTGTAACAGATTATTTGGATCCCAGGTCGGACATAGCTTTTGACAGTCCTCCGGTGACCATACTTGTAAGAGATTACCTGTGAGGTGGTTGCATTGTGTGGCTGGACCAACTGGGACCACTGATGATGGTGTCAGCTGTTGGTTTGCCTGGTCCAGATTCAACATCTTCTCCTGTGACCATACTTGTAAGAGATTACCTGTGAGGTGGTTGCATTGTGTGGCTGGACCGACTGGGACCACTGATGATGGTGTCAGCTGTTGGTTTGCCTGGTCCAGATTCAACAGTCTTTTTCTGTTATCACTGGACTTAAAAAAACAGCAGTACAATATAGGAGTGCTTTGGTGAGACAACTAAGATTGGAAAAATAAGTTTGTTAATAGAGTTATCGCAAGCAAATCTTGTTTGAAGTAGTTCTGATGTTATGCCTGCTTTGGTGAGACAGTGTCAGACATACAGCACACATCCCTTATGGACACTCCATGTATACACACCCCTGCCTGCGACAGAACTTAATTAAGCAACCCCTGTATTTGTGCAAAGATGGGTTTTCAACACTTACATAGAACTTCTTGTGGTGACCACGATGGAAAAACATGAGTTTCTCTGACCCGTATGACCCCTTGACTCATAAAAAACGACAAAATGACTGGAATCCATGTTGATGTTATGATGATAATTGCTCATTTTAAAAAAAACACTGATTTTCATACAAAACCATACCTGTACAAGTATGGTCCTGGAATGTTTAATGTTGAATTTATTGGTTAATGTGAATATTCAAAATGTTATTTTGCATATTTTACATGATTCAAGGTCCATACCGAGTGTAACCTCCATCTGATTGTATAACAGCGAGCACTCTCCTCCTCCTCATACCCCCTGTCAGCCTCCTGATCCTCTGAAAGAGAAGTCTATGCCATTCCTCCTGTAAGGCCGCTTCCAGTTGGGCCAGGTTCTGTACAGGAGGATCCCTTTGTTGCACACGACGACCAATCATGTCACAGATATGCTCCAGAGGGTTAAAATCGGGGCTTATTCAATCGTGAGATATGCCAGGGGGTGCTTAACTAATTTCTTTGTGTATATAAAAATTAGAAAAACACACAATTTCACCAAATGTGTGCTACCAAAGAAACTGGTAGTAGTGGAGTGAGTGAACACAATTCAAGCCACATGGAACACAATTTCAGCGATGTAAGCAAAGTGAAGACGGCATGTAAATAATCGTGTCCAGATTGATATTGTGAACTACAGGTTATACAAACCTACGTCATACATGACCAACTGAAAACAGCATTGTCAAATTGTTTCACAATTATTTATTTTTTCCTTATCCTGACTCATGCTCTTTTGCTTGTCTTCTTCTTCTTGCGAACATAGTGGAACACTTGTATCTCCTTATTTGAAGCTCCCTTCAAAATAAAATCACTAATTGGTACTCACCACGAAGTTGCCTCCCTTTGTCTCCCTGGCGGAAAGGTGTCCAGCCACCCTCTGCCCATGTGCTTCACTCTCTCCTTCTTAAGCCCAGTGAGCAGGATGTGAGGCCTCGTGTCTCCTTACACACCATATCCTTTGATAATCTCTTAGTTTTACCTCTCATAGGTTACTATAGAGGTATAGCTAGTATCCTTTACTATTTGTATTGATTAATTATCGTATTTCTACTGTTTATTCACGTGTATTTGATTGTTCAGCTAGCTTTACGTTGATGAAAATCTGTATGCGATTTGTAGATTACGCTTTTCTGCCTCCGATCCACATGTAATATGCCCTAGTTGTTCTAATGCCATGTGCGTTTAATTCACGTTGCAGTTACTGCATTAATTTATCTCTTTCTGCATTTAATAATAAATATCATCTTTAAGCGCCTTAAGGCGTGCTGCAGATAGATCACGCCAAACAAGGGCAAAACATGGCAGAGAGTCCAGATATTCCATCCAGTCAGCTGCTAGCGATCGACCCTCTCCCGTCTGGTGTTCTGCTAGAGATCCCTGCGGTAGAGGAACGTGGGACGCAGTCCGTTACCTCGAAGAAACGACCGGCCTCCCCAGACATCCCGTCATTGCAGACCAAGTCTAAGAGGGCCTCATCGTCGTCTCAACGCAGATTGAGGACACCCAGGGCAGCGCAGACTTCCAAAGGAAAATCTACGAAGACAGCGAGAACTTTCTCAGCCGAGATCGTTCCAGCAGCAGAATTGGGTCTCTCACGATGATCAGCCGATAATCATCCCCGACTTCGCGGCAGAAGAAGCTGACCGGGTGTCAGCGACTATGACTTCTGCAGAGATCACCATGCAGCCTGATGCCTCTACACCGACGTCAGGCGTTATTGATGTGAACCCCATCCAGCAGAGAAGACACCCGACAACTTCGTCACAGATCATCCCAGAAGACATGATGCGCAGATTATGAACATCATGGAGGACCACTACAAACTGCAGAAGCAGGGTCCGGAGCTTCGCTGAGGCTCCAAGCGTGACACCCCAGAGGCACCACCCGTCAAGCGTAGCAGCCAAGGCGATGTCACCTTCGCGAAGGAAGTCCCGGACCACCTTGGCGAAGGACCTAGATGTACAGCCTTTCGCGAAGGCCCAGCCAGCGGCGCGGGGATAGATCATCACCATCTTGATTTCATCTCTAGATATGGACTCGGACCATCAGACATCACGGGAGGCCTTGGCGTCATATCATCGATCCCCGGACGGACGCCAAATGAAGCTTCGAAGGCATTCGCGAAGGACATATGATTCAGATCCTCATCATCTAGAAGAACATCGAGGGACTATAGAAGAGCTTCGCGAAACTATCAGCGTTCACCTCCGCACAAGTCTCCGAGAAGATCATCCCATAGGGCGATCTCCACTTTCGCTTCATCACCAGATTCGATCACCCGTCAGATCTCCACATAGAAGCGGCACAAGTCAACTAGATCGCCACAAACCTCATCAGATATACAGACAGCTACATGCAGTCCCAAGAGCATCAACAATTTGTTAATGATGATGGTATTGGAGGATGATGGAGGAATCATATTTTCTGATGCAGAGATACGGTATTGGATGGTCAATAACCTAGATCTCACATCACCATCTAAAAGTGGCAATACAGCGCCAGGCGTATTTGATGAAGGAAGGCGATCCAGATGCAATCACTCTACCCCCGATCGACCGATTATGCGGCAGTGCCACAGAATCTAGATGCAGCTTTCCAGAAAGCTACGAAAGTTCAGACACCACATCTGCCCAACTTTCATGCCAAGAAGTTCTCCACGCATAACATGGACTCCTTCTACAAAGCCCAGGACATCGATAAGAACTATAAGATCATCAGCGATGTAAAGAACAAGATTTACAAGATGGATGATGTAGGAAGTTGGCTCATATAGAAACCATGACGAGGCGATATGTTCTTTGGGTTAAATAGATCTAGGACGATCAATGAGACTTATTACTAGATTCCGGGATTCCGCGACGGAAGATGATAGAATGATTTATTCTGCCTTACTTATGCAAAAGAAAGATCAGCAGTTTTAACGGATCATCTTACATCTGTTTCAGCAGCACTGACCTTAGCTCGTCGTCAAAGGCCTCCTCCTCGCTTCCTGTACTTGGGGAGAACTTTACAGCCCCACTTTATACAGCCCGTGCAATTGAGCCAACATCCATCTTTGGCGGAGAAATCGACAAAGTCGCCAAAGGAAGTCTCTAAGGATTCCAGGAAGTCCTTATGATTAAATCGATGGCCACACTAGCCAGCGTCATTCGTCAGACTTCACAAAGATACTCAGGCAGATCTAAGTTCACGGGCCTACAAAGAGCAAGAGACAGGAAGATAGCCAGCTCTAGAGGTAAAGATTCTTTTAAGTCGCCCATATGGCAACTATAGAGGAGGATCAGGAAGAGGCAGGACACCCAGAGGTTCCCGCAACTATAGACGCTGAAACACAGGTTCGAACGACTGGAGGTTTCCACCCCAGCCGTTCCAGTACAGCTTCAACAAGTGGGTGGACGCCTCCAACTACACTGGGAAAACTGGGGAATATTGCAAGACCCTTTTTACGTCTCAACATTCTTCAACCGCAGTTTAGTATCCCACTACAGGCCAAGCCTCCGCTGACAATCAAACCCCCCAAGTTCGATTTACAAAGCGCAACAACTACCAAAGATAAGAGGCTGTTTCATCACTCCTTTCCAAACAGGCCATAGAAGTAATAGATCAAGCAAACATCGAACCAGGTTTCTACTCCCCAGTTTTCCTAGTTCCCAAGAAAAACTCCACGGAGAAATACAGACTCATCTACAACATGAGCTTTTTCAACAAGAATTATCTACGCAAACCACCGAAGTTTCGCATGATACATTTACCTCAGTTACGCCAGATGATTCGTCCTATGGACTACATGGGCAGCATAGATCTACAGGATGCCTACCTGCACATCCCCATTCATCCCGATTCCAGGAAATACCTACGATTTACTCTAGAAGGGCTACATTACCAGTGGAAAGTACTCCCATTCGGAATATCATCAGCCCCTGGCTATTCACGAGGATAACGAAACCGATTATCATATTTCTACATCGTCAAGGGGCTACGCGAGTGCGTTTTACCTCGACGACGGGATACAAGTAGATCAAGATCCACAGCGTCTCAAACTACAGTTAAATTACATCATAAAGCTACTAACACAACTAGGTTGGTTAGTAAACTTACGCAAGTCGGACCTAGTACCATCGCAAGACCTGCAGTTCCTAGGTATTCGATTCATCACAAATCGCAACCGTATTATGGTACCAGAAGACCGTTGGCTCAAGATACAACAGACCATTCCACCAGCTCTACTCTCCGTTACCACT